CAAAAAAAAAAAAAAAAAAAAAAAAAATCATTTTAATAAAAACAAGTGAAAATACCAGACTATTGTAATATTAGAAGACACAGGATTAGGATCTTATTCTGTCATATGTTTCAAATTAATTTGACTTTGTTTGCTCAGTTACCCAATTGATAGGTCAATCATACATAAGAATTTTTCTACTTTTAAGGTTATGATTAATTATATTTTGAGATGATTTTTTTAGGAATTTAACTCCCATGGTTTGATGTTTCTTCTTCATCACTTATAATGAAATATTTAGAAATATTACTAGAAATTATCTTCTAAATTCTGTTCAAAATGTATGTTTTATATACATTATCTGTAAGATAAGCAAATATCTAAAGTAATTTCAAACCAGAGAAATTACTATTTTATTCCATCTTAAAAAAACAAACTAAATATTTATATTGCATATGCAAAATAAATTCTTCTTATACTCCCCAAATTCTTTTAAGAAACCTTTTTTTTTTTCCTCCCTTAAAGGTGGTAAGGATTGAATCCAGAGCCTTGCACATGCCAGCTCTACCACTGAAGAACACTCCTAGCTTTCTAGAAACTCCTGATGGCCCCCAATACAATTTTTAAATTGCGATTATAGTGGCCTCTTTGTATCTGTGGGTTCTGTATCTCTGGACTCAACCACAGATCAAAATATTTGAGGAAAAAATCTGAGTATGTACTTATTTTTTCTTTTTATAATTCCCTTAAACTATGTACCTATTTACACAATACATATTTATATAATATTTACTTTGTGTTAGTTACTGTAAGTAATCCAGAGATGATTTACAGCACATTGGAGGATGGTTATAGGTTACAATCTAATATAGCAGCAGTTTATATAAGGGAATCTAGCATCGGCAGATTTTGGTATCCATACGGGTACTGAAATCAATTACTTATGGATATCAAGAAACAACTGTATGCTACTTTAGTAGACACAATAAATATAAAAAGTTATAACATTTTTATAGACTGAAACACAATAGGTAAATAATATTGAAAATATATTAAAACTAAAAAAGTAGTAACATTAATATGCATTAAAATACACTTGTTGAGTATTGCCAACCTTACTTCAGCAGCACAGTTAATACTGGAGATAATTTTAGAATCTTAACTCCAATATTTACGTGCTGCTAAGGCACTGCTGACATTGCTATCATAAGAGCTATGAATAAAAAATATATTTTCTTCAGAAGATCAGATCCTTGTATTTTTGAGGCAGCACAATATGGCCTGCACCTTTTCAAAATCCACAAACCATTATGTGCTGCTACTTTACTCCAAGGTTTATGTTTTTTTTTTAAACACACTAGAGTACCTAAAGAATGAAATTGTTTTCTTTTAGAAACAAACAATATATTTGAAATAAAAACATGTTTAAAGATTTTAACATTGATATATGTCCATAATTATTTTTAGTTTTTAAGTAGAATTTATTTCTGCATCAAAAAGTTAAGAAAGCCAACTATGTGTTCAACACATTGCTCTAAATTAAGAAACAGATGAATAATGGAAAAAGAAAAGCACATTTTTCTTGTGTCAACAAGGCAATACAAGTAAATCTTTAAATTTATGAATGTATTATTTTTCCTTTTATATGCAAAAAAGATTCATAAAAATTGTTTTTACCTTATTAAGAGCAGAATTTATAAACAGCATTTTGTTCCTTGTATACCTCTCAAAAGACATCTTCATAAGGACAGGTAAGACTTCATATCAAGGGAAAAACATGAAATGAAACACAAGAGTACAGTTTCAATAAACTTAGGCTTGCAAAATGCAAATGTACTTTTAAAGAAATAGACGAAGCCACGTGAAATACATTAATACAAAATATAGTAAAAATATACATAGCTTTAAACAAATCAATTCTCCCTTAGATGTTATAAAAATCTACATTATTAATTCTGATCATTTATTTCCATAAGAATGGTTATTCTGAGTTATTTAATGTAAGTAGTTACATATCTAGATTATGAAGCCTTGGAATGATATGTTAACTTGGTATCGTGAAAGGAAATACAAAGGAATGTCTATGTCTATGCCTCTCATCTTACTAAGTCTTACCCTTCACTCTGTTCAGCAGAAAAGGGAGTATATTCCTTGTTTCCACTTAGATGTAGGAAGACCTCTCCAGAAGATACCAGAAAACCATCATTACTCTAGCTCAAGGCTCAACAACCATTTTTGCCTTCAGCATTCTTATTAAAATGCCTTTAAAAAATCTATTTCTATTATATATAATATTTCTATTATAGTATTAAAAGGTGATATGCATAACCAAAGCTACGAAATCTGCCCTTCTAATTGTTTATACACAGCACTTTGACATAGAATTAATGTATTGTATTTTCGTCATTATTAAAATGTACATATAACTATTCGTGTATCTGAGCAATCAGAGCTTCACATATTTCTCTATTATTGTCAAATTTCTGTATGTATGTATGTATGTATGTATGTATGTATGTATGTATGTATGTATTAATGGCACAAAGCCTTCAAAACTGGGGATTCAACTACTGAACTATATTCCCAGACCTCTTTATTTTGAGACAAAGCCTTACTAAGGTGCCTGAGATGGCCTCAAACTTGGGATCCTCCTGCCTCAGCTTCCCAAGTACCTGGGATTACTAGTGTGTGCCACTACCCCCAGATACTAGTTTGTTACATATAACCAAGATAGATCTATTGCAATGACTTAAAAAAATACATAACATAAATTTGTGTCTTTGTTAAAGAATTTTAAGTTTTTTCAAAAAATTGACAAAATATACTATAATTTTGCTTTAATAAACTCAGAAAGATTTTCTATTTAAATTTTACTTCAATTTTAACTGAAATAGTTAAAGTAACTTTTATTTGAAAGACAAATTATTAGAAAAAATTCATTCTTACTCTCAAAAAATATGGAAATTCTTTAAAGGTATTAACAAAGTGAAAGATTCAGTGGAGCAATTTCAGGCAGACAGGAAGGTACATCTCTTTCTAGTGTTCAGCAGCAGTAGTAATCTCTTTCCAGTGTGGTAAGGTTTCATTTTTTTTTCCTTTCTACTTATCTTCTAGCATTATAGTTATCAAAGGTAGTTTCATTCTATGCCTCAATAAGGGGCTATTTCAATAAATTTCTTTTGTATCCACAAGTTTAAACTGTCTTCACTGTCACATAACAAGGATATTCAGGTGCTAACACATGGCATGAAGATTTTCCTGCTAGTTTGTTTTATATACAGTTGTATGTTACTATATTAATTTGAATACATAATTTTACTCAATCTAGCATCAACATAATTAGTAATAGATGTTTCTTTTTTCCAACATGCTTCAAATTTTGCCTGTGAACCTCTAAGAAACTCACTATGTATAGCCACTGAGACACAGAATGATTATCTTTCTAAGAGTGGAATGCTAGGCTCAGTGGTACAATGCCTATAATCACAGATGATTTATTTATTTATTTATTTATTTATTTTTGTACCAGGGATTGAACTCTGGTCCTTATGCTTGCAAGGCAGGCCACGGAACCACTGAGCTAAATCCCCGACAATCCCAGATAATTTAGAGGCAATACTTTGAGCTTAGCCAGGCAATTTAGCAAGACCTTGTCACAAAATAAAAGGGCTGGGGATGTATCTTAATGGTAGAATGCTCACAATTTCAATTCCACTGTACTGCAAAATGGAAAAAAAAAAAAAAGATAAGCCCATGGTGGAGGTAGGGGATATATATGGAATAATGTTCAAGTGATATGACATGTCAGTGTGTGTGTGTGTGTGTGTGTGTGTGTGTGTGTGTACACACACACACACATACATATATATATATGAAAGAAAATTTAATAGCTCTTATTTATATCTTGAAGGAAGGGTCTAAGTTAGGAGGTACAGTTAACACAGTTTTACTAATATGGTAATTGTTCATTATCCTATTACAAATGTCCAAATAAAGTTTACAGGGTCATATTAAAATTAATTTTTGCTTCTTGGATATAAATGCTTAAGAATAAAAATGTTATGTAGCTGGGCACAGCAATACATACCTGTAATCCTAGCACTTGGGATGGCTGAGGCAGGAACATTCCAAGTTCTAGTCTAACCTTGGAAATTAATGAGACCCTGTGTCTCAAAATAAAAACGTTATAAGAAGAGATAACCAACCATCCAAACAAAAAAACATAACAGCCTGGATTAACTAGAGAAGGTTCTTTTAAAATTCAGTGTTGAGAATAGGCATGTAATAAAATAATGTTCAGACATAATCCAAAGACATAATTAAAAAAAAAGTAGATTTTGAGTTTAACTAAATAAAAAGGTTTTACATTGTGTTTCTACACCCCCTTTGATTTCTTCCGGAGAAATAAACAAATGAAAGATTGTTTAAAAACTCATTATGAAGTGGATTTCAATCAAGGGTTTATTCCAGAAAATTTATACATGTTAGCTCCAAATAATGTTATTGCTTTGATTCCTTATATACAAAGTTAAACTACTTATAAGACAAACATTTATATATTTTTAAAATTTTTCATGTGTTTTTACTTCTCAGGCATGACTAAATTATGAACGTACTGTTCGGTTAAGAAGTGCCATTTGAGGGCCGGGGATTTAGCTCAGCCGTTCGGTGGCCTGCCTTGCAAGTGCAAGGACCCGAGTTCAATCCGTGGTACCAAAAAAAAAAAAAAAAAAAAAAAAAAAAAAA